TAGATTATTAAAAAGAGAAGTATCCAAAACACCCAACAATTGGATAATAATTCTAAGATATGGACTATGTTGAGAATGTGATCCAAGATCATCCACAAATATGGAAATACTTCATGAGCTAACACTGAGAGATAAAGAAAAAGAATGATATAAATTATGAAAGCTGGAATGAAAAATATTATAAAAAGAAATATATGAAAATAGCTTAGAAAGAAATGAGACGAATGCAGCTGTTGTTAGACAGTGGGATTATCATGTTTTTATTAAATTCCGTCTAGTATGATGTTACTTTGAAAGCTTAGAACCACTCTTTTTTCAAATTTTAAATTAATGGACACAAAAATGCTAGAAAATAATGTTTAAAATTAGGTATCCAATTAACCAGATAATTTTATTAAGTATAAAATAATTGTTTGGGTTTAATAAATAACACCTTCTCCTCTCTTTATCTTCAGAACAAATTAAGAAATTAAACTGAGTCAGACAGAAATGAATCCAATTGTCACCTTCACAGGTAATTTGAACTGTAGAACAAGATTGGAATCAGTGGCCTACAGTGCCTCCTAATACTTGGGGTCTGGATTAGAAAGACTCATGTATTCGGTCATAGTTTGCACTATGCTGTCACAGTTTGCTCCTTTGTAAGAGCTCCTCCTGGCCCCCTGCATACCACTACAGAGAGCAGACCCTTACACACCCATGTCACAGAGGAGTAGATGATAAAAAGAGGCCTAGACAGGTATCCATTCTCTCTAGAAAAATCAGATACAAAAAAGGCCTGAATTCAAGAACACAACTTGACAGTTCAGCAATGATGCTAACCTCAGGATCAAGGTCTTCAGAGAATGATCTTTTCTCAGCTTCTAATAGTCTGCCATTCAGCCTTGGTGGAGAACAAGGTACAGAACGCAAGTCTAACTCTTCACCAAGGATAATTTCCTTATCTTCTTCTAGCATTTCTTTCTCTTCCCTGAGACTATTCTTTTTTAACATGCTCCTTGGTCGAGGTGAAGGTTTAAAGTGGGCATCTGTATCACAGCTGTTATCTTCTGTTAAAAAAAAAAAAAAAAAGCTTTAATGTGAGTGTACAGAAAAATGACCTTAGTTTCAACTATGCCCACGGTCCTAAAACACTTTCCTGCTATGCCCATGAATCTTAGTTTTATGCCCTGGGAAGCTGAGATGAAACCCAAGCACTTCTCTATGTAGAGCTCCAGGAAGGCACAAATGATTGATAGCAGTTCATAATCAAAAAATAGTTGTCACCCAGGAAGTTACTCATATACTTTATTTTTGTGAGAAGTTAACTCTTCAACTTCATTAACCTTCATAATATTTCACAGTATTCAAAAGTAATTAACACTTTTACACTCCTCTAAAAAGTGAAGAGTTTCATCCATCAAACAGAGTACTTAAGGTATGCATATACACAATCTGTACACTTTACTATTATTACTGCAGCTCATGATCAAGACAGTGAAAATGGCCCTGTCCAAGGATTCAACAGGTTGGTAAGGGAGATCATTTTAAACAAATAAAATTCAAGACAAAGGCAAGTGCTTTTACAAATAAAAAGATAATGATACCAGCATAAGAGGCATACAATAGCTAACAGTCACTGGAAGAATGCAGAACCAGATGATTAGTAAGTTATCATACTTTGATTCCATAAAGCTTCTCTAACAGTATATTAAAATTTCACAGCTACTATTTTTATTACTTCCATGTTTAAAAGAAGAATTTAATGCTGATATGCTTCCAGTGCTACAAAAATGATGAGGATGAAAATTTTTCACCTACACTCTTTTTGCCTAAATTCTACCTGTTATTTCTATTTATTTCTCCATTGTTTTTGTTGACTTGGTTTCAACTCATAGTGACCCTATGTACAACAGAGCAAAAAAACACTGCTGGGTGCTGCGCCATCCTCACAATCATTGCTAAGCTTGAGCCCACTGTCGCAGCCACTATGTCAATCCATCTTGCTGAGGGTTTTCCCCTTTTTGGCTGACCTTCTACTTTACCAAGCATGATATACTTCTCTAGGGCCTGGCCCCTCCTGATAACATGACCAAAGTACAAGAGACTGAGTCTGGCCATTCTCACTTCTAAGGAGTATTCCAGCTATACTTCTTCCAAGACAAATCTGTTCTCTGCCAGTCTATGGTATAGTCAATTCTTCACCAACACCACAATTTGAAAGCAGTGTTCCTTATTCATTGTTCAGCGTTCACATGCACATGAGGCTACTGAAAAGACAATGGCTTGGATAAGGTGAATCTTAGTTCTCAAAGTGACATCTTTCCTCTCTTAACACTTTAAAGAGCTCTTTGCAGCAGATTTGCCCAATGCAATATTATCTTCTGATTTCTTGACTGCTGCTTCCATGGACACTGATTGTGGATCCAAGTAAAATTAAATCCTTGACAACTTCAATCTTTTCTCCATTTATCATGATATTGCTTACTGGTCCCGTTGTCAAGACTTTTGTCTATGTTTTGTTTTCTTTATGTAATCTATATAGAATGCTATAGTCTTTGATCTTCATCAGTAAGTGTACAAGTTTTCACTATTAGTAAGCAAGGTTGTGTCACATCACAGATCATTAATGAAACTTCTTCCAATCCTGATGCTGTATTCTTCAATCCAGTGTCTCGGATGATTTACTCAGCATATCTACTCAGTTCCATTGTTGATTCACATGTCCTAAATTCTGATTAAATAGTCAATCCAAAAATTGAAGAGGCACCCTACATCCCCCCTTTCTTTCACTCCACATCCAAAGCATCAGTAAACTCTATTGATTCTACTTGATAAATCTCCCTCACTGTTCTTTCTCCATCCCCACTGTCAGCTCAATATTTCTTTTCTAGATTACTACCTCAGTGATAGTTATAAAACACAAATCAGAATATGTCATTCCCCTCCACAAAATTCTGTAACAGTTCCCCACCACCCAATCCAACAGAGCAAAAAGCAACATGCCATTAAACAATAAAAAGACCTTCATGGTCTTGTCACTGGCTACCTGTGCAGCTTTGTATACTGCCACACATATTTTATAATCTGTGTTCCTGAAAAGTTGAGCTAACAGGTCTTACAGTTGTTACCATACTTTTATGCAATGCTTCTGCCTAGTTAAGGAGCTGTGGTCCTGCTTTCATCACAGAAGTTTTTCCTCTGCTCCACCCACATGATTAATAAGTATCTCCTCCATGATGTACCTCCTAACTTATCACAGAATCTCCAATCCCCTGGTTCACAGCAGGTGGTCCCACAATAGGCATGGGAAGGAGGTCAGGGAAGTGTGCCAGCACTTTTTTGTTGGAGTTAGAGGATATGAGACTGCATCTTTAAGGTCATGTAGCTGAAAGGACATGATGTGGAGATCGCTGGTGATCTTCTGCCCTGCCAAGTGAAGGACTATCTGAGAAAATGATGCCAACTGACAGAAAAACAGGGTCTAGAAATGGAATGAGTGAGTGAGTGAGGGGCAGGAAGAAAAGAAAGCCAGCATGTCAGGGTGGAAGGGCTGAAAAAAGAGAAGAAAACATAATCCAGATGATCGCCAAAATGTACTGATTCCTTAATTCTAATTAGACCTAAAGCAACGACTTCTCATACCTTTGCTCAGTAAAGCAATAAACATTTGAGTTAGATGACTTGAAGCCAAGAGTCCTGACTGTGGCTACTATTAATTATCACTGTTAACCCTACTACTGTCATCTCTCTAGGAAGCCTTCCTTGATTCCTTCAGGTAAATATAGGTACCCACTTTCCTAAGTTCTTCCTGTACCTTATCTCACCATTAAAGTTTAAAGTCTTGGAGGATTGGTACTATGTCTTTGCAACTTTGTACTCTTAGCTCACAGTACAGTCCTTGTAATATAGTACAGTGTGGTGTATTCACAATAAATGTGTAAATAAATGATCTGCTTATAAAAATGCTAAATAATAATAAAGCATTTATACAGTACATAAATATCCCAAGAATGTTTAACACTCTAGAGATATGAAATCACTTAAATGCTTTCAGTCCCTAGGAGGTTTGACTTTTATTCCCATTTTACACAAGTACAATGAGGAACAAAGGACACCAATGATAGTAAGTGACAAAGCTTGGATTAAAGCAGGTATACCCTATTTCCAAAAGCTATTCCTTTCAACATTTTAGTATAGAAAGAAAACCAATCATGCAAAAAATGCTTTCTGCAATCATTATCCATGTGACAATTACTCTATAAAAGTGGAAGTTTGGTTATTCCATATTTTACAAGAGACAAAAGCAAAGAAAACCTTCAGCTTCTAATATTTTTTATGAAGCATTAATTGCTACTCAGCATTATCTCACCCCATGAAAAAAAATAAGTTTAAAACCCTGTAAGAAAATTTTTTAAAAGTGTAAGAAGTGTATTGGGAAAATATGCTGCAAAAGACCTCTTTAAAGTGCTGAAGAGCATAGATGTCTCCTTGAAGACTAAGGTGCACCTAACCCAACCCACGCTATTTTCAATCACCTCATAGGCATGTGAGAGCTGGACAATGAATAAAGAAGACTGAAGAAGAATCAATGCTTTTGAGTTGTAGTGTTGGTGAAGAATACTGAGAGTACCATGGACTGCTAAAAGAACTAACAAATCTGTCCAGGAAGAAGAACAGCCGTAATGTTCCTTGGAAGCAAGAATGGTCAGACTTTGTCTCACCTACTTTGGTCATGTTGTTAGAAAGGACCGTTCTCTGGAGAAGGATATCATGCTTGGTAAAGTAAAGGGTCAATGAAAAAGGGGAAGGCCCTCAAAAAGATGGATTGACACAGTGGCTGCAATGATGGGCTCAGGTATAGCAGGAATCCTGAGGCTGGCACAGGACCAGCAATGTTTCATTCTGTTGTACATAGGATTTCTATGAGTTGAAGACTACTAGATGATACATAACAACAAGAACAAGAATTTCTAGAAGGATAAGGTTAAGCTCAAAGCCACATGTCTTCTTCCACAAAAAATTTATATATTCACTTATTTATTCATTCAATTACTCAATGAATCCTATATGCCAGGTACTATCATAGGTGTAGGAGCTCTGGTAGCATAGTGCCTAAGGCACTTGACTGCTAACCAGAAGGCTGGCGGTTCAAACCCACCAGCCACTCCTCGGAAGGAAGGTTGGGCAATCCTACTTCCGTAGTGATACTGCCTCAGAAACCCAAGGAGGGGTCGCTATGAGTCGGGGCCGACTCGACGGCAAATAACAACAACAACAACAATCATAGGTGTGGCAACCTCAATTTTTATTCTCCAGGCTGAAAAGCCTGAAAATATGACTTTTAATATACATTATATCAAAATTTCATTTCCAAAAGCATTTTCAAGTTGTCAGAAGAAAAAAAAAAAACCTATATATTTTTAAATGGTTTGTTTTATAACTGAACGTAGAAAATTATCAATTTAGATAATTATTTCCATATTACATATGTTGTTGTTGTTATTAGATGCTGTCAAGTTGTCTCTGACTCATAGTGACCTTATGTGCAACAGAATGAAACACTGCACTGTCCTGTGCTAGCCTCATGATTGCTATAACTGAGCCCACTGTTGCAGCCACTGTGTCAGTCCATCTCGTTGAGGGCCCTCTCTGTTTCACTGACCCTCCACTTTACAAAGCGTGATATCCTTCTACAGGGAATGGCTCCTTCTGACAAAATGACCAAAGTAGATGAGACGAAGTCTGGCCATTCTTCCAAGGAGCATTCCGGCTGCACTTCTTCCAGGATAGATTTGTTAGTTCTTTTAGCAGTCCTTAGTACTGTTAGGATTCTTCCCCAACACCATGACTCAAAAGTATCAACTCTTCTTCAGTCTTCCTTATTCATTGTTTAGCTCTCACATGCCGAAGCAGTTACTGAAAATACCATGGCTTGGGTTAGGCACCCCTTAGTCTTCCAGGAGATATCTATGCTTTTCAGTACTTGAAAGAAGTCGTTTGCAATATGTCATCTGATGTCTTGACTGATGCTTCTGTTGGTGTTGCTTGTAGAACCAAGTAATATGAAGTCTTTGACAACTTCAATCTTTTCTTTGTTTGTTGTGATGCTGTTTATTGGTCCAGTTGTGAAGACTTTTGTTTTCTTTATGTTGAGATGTAATCCACACTGCAGACTGTAGTCTTTAATCTTCATCAGTGTGTCAAGTCATCTTTCAGCCAGTAAAGTTGTGCTGTTGGCATATCACAGGTTATTAATAAGTCTTCCTCCAATTCCGATGCCGCATTCTTCTTCACATAATCCAGCTTCTTGGATTGTTTGCTTAACATACAAATTTAATAAGTATTGTGAAAGGATAGAACCCTGACATGCCTTCTTGATTATAAACCATGTGTAGTATTCCCTTGTTCTGTTTGAACGACAGCCTCTTGGTCTATGTATAGGTTCCTCATGAGTACAATTAAGTGTTCTGTAATTCCCATTCTTCTCAATGTTATCCATAATTTGTTATGATCCACACAATTGAATGCTTTTGTGTAATCAATAAGACATAAGTAAACATCTTTCTGGTATTCTTTGCTTTCAGCCAAGATCTATCTGACATTAGCAATGATATCCCTCATTCAATGTCTTCTTCTGAATCCAGCTTGCATTTTTGGAAGTTGTCTGTTAATATACTACTGCAACCATTTTTGAATTATCTTCAGTAAGATTTTACTTCTATATGATATTAATTGGGAGCTCTGGTAGCATAGTGGCTAAGACACTTTGCCTGCTAACCAGATGGCTGGCGGTTCAAACCCACCAGCCACTCCTCAGAAGGAAGGTTGGGCAATCCTACTTCCGTAGTGATACTGCCTCGG